CATGGCTGATTAAAGCAAGACTCCATATTCCAGCTAGGTGTCATCTTCTATAGGGACTTGTATTATCTGGGCTTTCTCAGTCCACATTCTTTTTTTTTTTTTTTTTTTTTTTTTGGAACCAGGGATTGAACTCAGGCCCTTTCGCTTGTCAGGGAAGCGCTTATTCCACTGACCCATCCCCCTGGTCCAGTCCACATTCTTTGCCCACTTGTTGCCCACATTCTTTAGGTTTGTAGATGCCTCCTCTTGGTATTCTGGTGAAGTATTTTGCAAAAGTTGACACTTCCACTGTCTACAACATAATCACCGGGAGTGCTTGTTAAAATATGGGTTCTTGGGTCCCGGTATAGTACTGAATAACAACCCCAAAAGAAGTGTTGTTTTTTTTTTTTTTTTCTAAAATTCAAGGCTGTTGTCCTGGTGGTATACATGAGCCACAGCAGAATCATTTGTCATTTGTATTATACCCCCAAGTCTTCTCTCTGTGTCAGATTCCCTGGTGGTTTAAACCTCTTTGGTTGGATTCTCCAGCACTTAAGATAAAGCTGTCTTGGAAAGCAGCTCTGTATTCTATGCATCTGAGAGCCAGCCTCTCGGTGTGAGCTCTGTATTGCTCTGGCCAAGCCCAGCACTGGCCAAAAGGTTTCTTATATCCATGATATATACAAATTCTCTTTAGGATGAGATCCACACCAGTTAGCCAAGCATTTGCTTTGAGCAACTTCTTTTTCTTCTACAGCATCTTCATAGTTAGGGCTCTGATGTTCTGACAGGACAGTGGGGGGAGAATTTCAGCTGCACCATAGATCCCAAAGATCCTCAGTGGAAAAGTCAGAAGCCTGAATGAAGTTGTCAGAGCCCTGAGAAAATGGCTTTAGGGGAAGTCCCACACCTTCCCTCTGCTGAGCTGTGCTAAGCGGAGTTTGAGGTTGTCTGGAGGAATATACAAGGGTGGGGTTCTGACTTTGAAAACAGAAAGACCTGGGTCCACAGCCTCACTCTACCGCTGACTGGATGAGAAACTTCGCTCCTCTTAGCCTCCACTTCATTCTTTGTAGGTCATGGAGGATGAGGTAAGTTCATAAGCAGCAACAGCCCAGTGTACACAACTGCTCAGCCCCAGCCAGAGGGTCTCACACCCCAGAGCCTGCATCTTGATCCATGGCTCATGCCCCCTGCCCCTGCTACTCGCCAGTTCCTTCTTGGCTGCAGAAATTGCCACCAGGACTGAGTGGCAGCCCTCACTTTCCATCCACTTCTCCTCAGCTCACTCATGCCCTTCCTTCACCTCTCCTCTGTTTGAACTGGGTTTATCACATCTCTGTTAAATGCAAAGCATTTAGAAGTCAAGGTCCCATGAAAAGAATCCCATCAAAGACCAGGAAGAAAACAGAAAATGGCATTACAAAGCTTGCATACTAAAGCTCATGTGATAAATGCAAAACAGTGTACTCAGAAAAAAATAGTGCTTATTCAGAAACAGTGGTAGCCAAGCTTATATTAGCAGCAGAGTATGGCATCAAGAAGCCGGAATCTGTTGGGCCCAGGTACTGCTGATAGCAGCAAGAAATGGTTAGAACCTCACAGCAAAAAGAATGAGATGATGGACGGACAGATGGACGGAAGGAAGGAAGGAAGGAAGGAAGGAAGGAAGGAAGGAAGGAAGGAAGGAGAAATATAAGAAACCAAGCAAGCTTAGCAAACTGGCACAGTTGCTGGCACAGTTGTCATTTATATTAAGCATCAAATGTGTTTGGGGATGAGGGATGCCTGGGATCTTCCCAAAATGCTTTCATGGAGGTTCACAAGGTCAGAATTACTGGGGTACTGAGACATTACAAGCCTTATTCACTCTCATTTTTCCTGGGTGTGAAGTGTATAAAAGTATCCAGAGATCAAAAAGTTTCAGAATACCTGAAATAGTGGTAACCCTCCCAGAACCCCCAGAGCTCTGACATCAATGAGCAGGGTCATGAATTTTCACATGTGAATCAGTGTTGTTGAGTGTTCCACAGTGTCTGCCTGGTGTGGCTGTGTGTGCATGCGTGCATGTGTATGTGTGTGGGGGTGACATACACAGGTTGCCCACTAGGACAATATTGCATTTTTCCTAGCCTCTCAGAGTGATCCTCCCTGCCACCTAATTAGTGCTCAGTAAATGTTTTAAAACTGGATTAGCTAGGGGCTGAGGAGCTAGCTGGGTAGCGTAAGCGCCTGCCTGGCAAGCTGAAAGTTCTGAGTTCAGTCCCCAGTACTGCAGGCTGTACCACGCCTGAACCCCAGGAGCACCGTGCCACCCCAGAACCAAGTGTGGTGGTGTATGCCTGTAATCCCAGCACTAGGAGGCTGAGATAAGAGGATCACTATGAGTCTGAACTGCATAGCAAGGCGCTGTACCAAAAAATAAAAGTAAATAAATAAAATAAAACTGTGTTAACTGAGTTTGGTGCTTCCTTGAGGGAGCTAGACCGGTCCATCTTCCAAACAGCTCAAGACTGGCTGAAATGAGTGTGACCAGTTTCCTGCTCCGAATAGAGGCCCCTCCCCATCCAGAACCCTGGTTGCTGTGGCTTCTAGAGGGCTCAAATCCTGGGGGACAGGCGATCACTAGGCTCCTTTTGGGGCCAGTAGTCCCTCTGAAGTTGTATGTCCCAGCAGCGCTAGGAATCGTCAGCCTAGGGATGGAACTGTCCCTTAGCTCTTCTCAGCCTCGGTAGCATGTCCTGAGAAATGGGTATTGTAATCTGGCTCCTCACAGATTCCCTGACAGAAAATTGGTCAGAGAGCCACCAGCTGTGTGCCCAGAAGCAGGGAGCAGCTCTGAGGCCAGCGTTGCTGTGGGATCAGCCTTCAGCCTGCTCTCCACCAGTCCGAGGGGATGCCACAGAGAGCCAGCAGCATGGGCAAGTTCTCCCAGAAGTGGCTCTGTCTGTACCAGTGGTGGAAAACTTGCAGCACGCATACCATGGTGGGCTGTTTGTGATCACCAAAAGCTCTAAGAGTTCACAATCACTGATCTATATGGAAGATTTCTGTGGAAAAGGAAGTCCAAGCATGGTCACCTGAGTGTCCCTTCCCTCTTAGAACACACAGAGGAGATCCCACGCCAGTCAGGCCCCACTGCACACACTAAGTTGACCAGATCCGAAGTGCAACTCCAGAATTGAGGAGAAAACTGAGGGTTAAATAACTTGCCAGACATCCCACAGCTAAGGAATGGTGGAGCCTGGATTTGACTCAAGGTTCCAGGGCTGCTTCTCATGGACAAGAAGTGTTAGTCACTGGTTCATGTCACCAAGCCGGTAGTCTCACACCAGACACTCTCTGCTTCCTCAGGGGCCCAGGGTGGAGAGAAGCACACAGAGGTGAGGATGGTGGCTACAGGGGAAGCCCTGGCCCTTCTGCCCACTTCTGTGTGACTCAACGAAGCTGTTCACCTCCTCTCAGCCTTTCTTTTATTTAAAAAGTAGGGGCAGTCTTGGGACCTAGCTCAAAACTTGTCAGTGGGGTCCAGTATAATTCTTCAAGGCAGTATTATTCTGTGACGAAAGAGAATAGGACAAGGAAAGCAGATACAGAATCCATGAGCTGTGTGTCCTTGGAGAAGTCTTTCAGCCAATTATTAAATACAGGATGACCAAAAATTGAATAGTTTTCATTACCTTTTCATGAAGATACCATAACAGGAAATGCATAAATGACAATTTTATCAAATGTGTTCAATAATTTTTCTGTGCATGGTATATTCTAAAACATTCAACATGTTGCCCGAGCAACACATGGAATAGCATTTAAACAGACGTGCTGCCCAAGTAATGCTTGGAGTAAGCTGTTATGTGCTTAAGGTCCCAGAGCCTTGGTTTCATCCTCCTTATAATGGACATAATAAGTGGCTACATATTAATTTTAAATGATACAAGAAGCATGAAGGGCTTAACACCACTCATGACAATTGTTCAACACAGGTCAGATTTTATTACCATATAAAAAATTTGATAAATGACAAAGTAGGATGCTACTATTGCTGTGATGAAGTTGGCCTCTGTCTGTAAGGCAAACCTAGCCCCAAGTTATTGGTTTGTTTGTTTGTTTTTAAAATTTTATTTATTTATTTGCACGTGTGTGTGGCCAGCTCAGCCCACCAGGGGGCGGGGCTGGCTGGCATGTGGGGTTGGGGAATTGAACCGCGGTCCCTTGTGCTTTGCTAAGCTTGTTCTACGTAGGTGCTTTAGACCACTGAGCCATCTCACCAGCCCAAGCCCCAAGTTATTGTTTGGAATAGGGAGATATCAATGACGCCATGCTCTTGGCATCTTTCAGTCTTTAAAAGACTCTGTGCAGTAGGATCTTGCAGCTTGGTATCATCCTGGACCTAGAAGCTTGTCAAAAATGAAGCATCTCACGTGAGTAGGTGGGCTAGACTTTGCATCTGTCAAGGTCCCCAGCTATGTCCTGTGCGTACCAAGGTTTGTGAAGTGCTGGTATAAAGATGGAGAATACGCAGTGATCGTTTGGGCCATGGCACAGAAAGAGTTAATGTTTAGTTTGGCTCTGGCTAGGGCACCGGAAACAGAAGGTTCCAGAGATTGAAGCGCATGAACTGATGAGACAGGAAGGCTCCCTTCCTGCCTGTGTCCTGGACAGCCAGGGCTCTGGCCTGAAACCTCCACTGAGGCCTCCTCACACCCTGGTTAGGCAAATCTGAGAGCAGGGTAGGACAAAGGGAGGCCGAGGTCCCTGGGCTCAGGATTGCCAGGGTGAATCTGGGGAGGTCCAGCCTTCCAGCCATGGCTACCTGAGGTCTGAGAAGAGTAGGGAGGCTGGAGAGGTGCCACAGGGTGATGAGCAGCGTCCTCCCGCAGCAGGCTGGTGGCCAGCACGGGGGCAACTGGTCTCCCTGGCACACCAAGCCCCATCTTCTGGACCCTGCTGCCCTAGCCTCTAGTGGGTGGAGAGGGCCAGGTCCTGGACTCTGAGCCCTGGCCTTCCCCCCTCCCCAGTGCTGGAGCAGCTGCTCCCAGAGCTCACCAGGCTGCTCAGCCTCCTGGACAATGAGGACCTCAGTGACAGCACCCTGGAGAAGAAGATGGCAGTGTCCTCCATCCTGCAAAGCCTACAGCCCCTCCCAGGTGAGCCCCAGAGAACCCCATTTCAGGGACATCAGTGTCTCTCCTGAGCTCTGTCTAAGAAATAGTAGTCTCCCCAGGGCATAGAAAGTGGTCCATCTAAGCCTTGTACCATTGTGAGTTCTCCACTTTCTGGCCCAGTGTCCTCACACGCTCAGGCTCCGCTCCTCCTCCATCCTGGCCATGTTCTCAGTCCTTTTCCATGCTCAGCTCTCCACAGACCTACACATATAGAACATGTACACACTACACACAGTCACACCCCCACCATACACAGCACAGCACACTCGTGCATGCCACCTGCTCACACACACACAACATGCAGTCCACACCAACATCCTGTGCTTCACACAGCACCAGCCTGCAGATAACACTCCCTCAGCCCAACGCCAGACAGGCCCACAGCACGCAGCATGCACACCTCCTAAAAGCTCACACAGACACGCTCTCCCTCAGCCCTCTGACTCATACATCATACGCCTCGTACATCATACGCCTCCTGCACCTGTGTTCCCCTAAGTGCAGTCCTGTCTGCCCAACATCTCCCCCTTTGCTGCTGCAGCCTTCCCTGGGCAACCCAAATCTGTCAACAGCATAGTATGTCTCAGTAAACCGTAGGAGCTGTACCGCCATCCTGCAATGCTCAGGGCATCTGAGCGAATTCATCCCTGGGTGACTCCCTCCAAGCAGAACTGATGTCCCTTGCTGCCCTCACAGACACGTGGGGAGGGAGAAAGGGGCAGTGGTGTTTCTACTGTGTTCACTGCAGCCCTGTCCCCTGTCCAAAGCCAGAGCAGCCCAGTAACACCAAGCTCCTGGGAGTCCCTTTGCTTGGAGACAGAGACCCTCAGTCACAGTGCAAAATATGTGAAAAGCAGTGACAACCGGGGACGTGGACACACTTTGCAGGCTGAGTGCTGTGTCCTCGTGGCACAGACCCAGTCCCTCCCCCTCTTCGCTGCCAGTGTCTCCTTTTACTTCCCAGAAAAGGAAGTCTCCTACCTGTACGTGAACACTGCAGACCTCCACTCGGGGCCCAGCTTTGTGGAGTCCCTCTTTGAAGAATTTGGTAAGCAGCCTCTCGTGACCTCCGTCAGAAAGCCCCCTCTCTGTGTGTGTACACTGAAGTGTCCCTGGGTTGGCTGGGCCTGGCTCTAACCTTGTGTCATTAAGTCACTGGGAGTCCTCCAGGCCCTGAAAGTTTAATCAGAATCTGCAGTTACAGAAAAATATCCCCAATGTTTGGGAACAGTGAGCACAAATAGGAACCAGAAAGAGCTCCACCAGAAAGTGATTATCTCACTGGCTGTTGGGCACTCCAGCAGCTCAGTGGAAAGGAGAACTGTGATAGAGGAGGGCTGGCTGCCTGGGACTGCAGAAGCCTGGGCAAGGTGTAGGAGGGTCCTCCCCCTCCAGCTCCCTCCTGAAGCCACAGGGAGAGCGCTGTGGTCCAAGTGATCCTGAGTGGTTTAGGAACAGGCAGACTCAAGGGCAACACTGCCTTCATAACACAGTCCTTGAAAATCTCCAAAGCATACAAAATTATCGTATTTGATCCTCTCAGTAATCCTTGATAACAGATGAGGTGGGGCTTAGTGTGACCAGGTTGCAGAGAAGTGCCAGGTATGGGGGTGGTGAAGCCACATGCCCAGGTAACCATTGGAGGATGTGGGAGCACCCAGGGTCACACACAGGCCTGCACACCCAAGTCCAGCCCCCCTCACCCTCTCTCATACTCATCCTTGGCCTTCTCTGTCTGACGACCTGACCATCCTCTGTAGACTGTGACCTGAGTGACCTCCGGGACATGCCAGAGGATGACGGGGAGCCCAGCAAAGGGACAAGCCCTGAGCCAGCAAAGAGCCAATCTCTGAGAAATGTGAGTCACAGCCGGGGTTCACACATGCCTGGGCCCTCTGTCCCTCTCCCCGTGACAGCAGGGGCCCTCCTGGCTGCATAGGGCCCCGTTCCCTCCATCCACAGTTCAGTGGCCCATAATAGCATGCTTAGTGTATTCCTGCTGAGTAGGAAGATGTGGTGAGCTAGTCTGTCCCCTCAGACCGAAAGAACGGCACCACCCAACCACAGGTTGCACATGGGGTGATGGGAAAAGCTCTAGGCCAGAGGTTGGGTAGCCTCTGCCCTCCCTGAGATGTTCACCTACAGAAAGAGGGTTGGACAGGATCTAGGATTCCCAACCTTGGAGTCACAGAATTTGAGGCAAGCATTGTCTGTCTGCTGCACAAGTGACTGTCAGCAGCACTGACAAGTGTAGAGAACGCAGTGTGTCGCTCACAGCTCACAGCATGTCACGCTGCTGTCCCCATTTCATAGATAAGGAAGCTGAGGCTCAGAAGGGAAGATGATGTCCCAAAACGAGTAAGTGACAGAGCTTAGCTGTAAAGCCGCAGCTCCCTTGGCCCCAGAGCGTGAGCTCTTCACTGCTGGGAGAGTCCACCTCACTAGGAAACAGGCCTCACACCTGTGATAGTTTTGATAATTATGTGTGTGCTCCCTCCAGAGTAAGACTCCCATGTTTTCACCATCCACAAAATGTGCAGACATTATAGAGGGGCCTCAGTGATTAAATCTAGGGCAAAAAGAGCACAGGACAAATATGCCCCGGAGTTCTGGCAGCATTGTGACTTGATTATAGTTTTACGTCTTTTCCTCCTGCTGCCCCTGCTTCCAGCTGTCTCAGTCTCACAGCTTCCCTGTCCCCTGCAGGCAGCCAACTCGCCTCCGCCACTGCCCAACAAGCCCCCTCCCGAGGACTACTATGAGGAGGCCCTCCCTCTTGGGCCTGGCAAGTCCCCAGAGTATATCAGCTCCCACAGTAAGTCCTGGGGCCCTGCGGTCATGCGCTTCTCCTGCAGGGGCTGGAACACCATGCCTGGCACCTGCCCTCAACATCCCTGTTTCCTAAGGAGGGGCTCCCTGGGCTCCTGACTTCAGCATTGGCAGCCAGTGAGCATGGCCCGGAGTCCAGAGCTGGGATGTTAGTCTTAGCTTCATGTGGCCTGCACAGCCCTTATTTCTTCACTGAACCTCTGTTCCTCTACCCTTAAAGCAAGAGATGTGAGGCACACGCCAGAAGTGTGCTGGGGTGCAGACAGGATGTGCAACCCATGGAGACTGCTGCACACCCCATTGCTCCTCTCTACCATGGAGAGGTCGTTTGTGCTTCAGCAGAATCACATCTTCTGGGTAGGTTAGGTTATGGAGTCAGCAGGTGAAATCAGGCGCCACGCCTAAAGCAGAGCTTCAGAATCCATTGGGCCCAGCCCAGGGATTTGTAAGCTAGTAAACACATCTCTATAGAGAGCCCTTCACAGTCCTTGTCACTTGATTACAGCTCAGGAAATTTATGTTTGTCATCCCATGGAAAAGTTACTGGAATTGTAGTGAGTCTACCCCATTCAGTGCAACCCATGCTGAGAATAAAGACACTAAGACATAGTTGTAGTTACAGAGACCCAAGGAGTCCTAAGGCCAGCCATGATGATGGCTGTACTCAACAAAGGCCTCAACCCAGGGCTGAGCCCTGGGTTTTATTAATTCCTGAAGAAAAGAGTGACTTGAGGATGCATGACTGTGAGAATGGCAGGAAGTAGGAGAGCTGGGCCAGGAAGGAGGCCTGCATTTAGCGCTGGAATATGCAGAGAGAAAGACATGTAGAAAGAGTAATCTGCATTACACAAGTGAGATAGGATCTGATGGTTTTTGGGGTCAGTACTTCAGCTCTGATGTGTAATCTTTAAGCCCCAGGAAGTTACAGCCTACCCATCCCAGGTGACAGCCAGCATGGAGCACCAGCTCTTCATCCTGTCTGTCCCTGCTCACACAAGGGAACAACAGGGGGAGTCAGGGAAACACGCCTGCCATCTTCAAAGACTACCACCAGCACCTCAGCTAGACTGATATGCATTGCTTAAAGCCTATTGAAGAGATAAGGAAAAGTCCTGCCAGTTCTGTACGTGTCAGTACATGGAAATAGGGTCAGGCTCAGCCAAAATGGAGACAACTGCTCCTCCTTCAAGGAGAGTCACCCAGATGGTCCTCCACGCATCTCTTAAAACATTCTATGTGATTTATAGTATTTATAATCAAATACTACCATAATACTTGACTATAGCTTATATTTACATATATAATTTGTTTACCAATATAAAAATTCTATGTACATATTTTTGCTGATAGTTGTGCTCAGCTTATCTTGGAAAACCTCCTAGTATTGCTAGCAGAATCCTTGATCTTCCCACCAGTCCCCACCTCCCCCATGTAGTGACGGGTATCTGCTCCTTGGAGCACCAGTTGAAGTTGCTTTCTTGAGTATATGGACTTAGCATTACAGAGAACTGTGTTGCAGATCTTGGGTGGCCCAGCAGGCAAAGCCGAGTCTGTGTATAATCCTGTCAGTGCGTGGCTGCTCTGTCATCTAGGAGCACAGTGGAATGTTCTCTAACCAACACAGTATAAAAAGAACAGGCTCATGCTGATCAGAAATGAATTCCAAGATATGGTCATTTAAAAAAATCAAACAATCTTGGCATATAACATGATTCTACTTGTTTGTTTTTTTAACATACTCACACAAACTTGTGCATTTGTTTTAACAATTTTTCTAGGATATGAAAGAAACTATTAGCAGGATGTTCCTGTAGGAAGTAAACAGAAATCTGGGTGCAGGGCTGGGGGGTGTGGCTCCATGATAGAGCACTTGCCTAGTATGTGTGACACCCAGCGTGACAGTGCCAGGTGAGCCTGCTGCAGGATTTGGGAAACATCCTTAGGGTACGCCCAGCATGGAGGTGCACATCGGAATCCCAGCTACTCAGGAAGATCTCGAGCTCAGGAGTTTGAGACTGATCCAAGCAACATAGCAAGACCCCATTCCAAAGAGAAATCTGGATGAAGTATTCACACTCTTTTATACTGCTTTTTGTGTGTGTGTGTTTTGTTTTTTGTTTTACCACAGGCAATTTTTTTTTTTTTTTTTTTTTTTTTTTTTGCGGAACCGGGGATTGAACTCAGACCCTTATGCTTGCCAGGGAAGCACTTATTCTACTGAACCATCTCCCCAGCCTCCAGGCAAATATTTTTGTTGACCATTTTCACTAGTTTATAATGTCAAACCAGAAGCATCACTGATATTTAGTGTTGCACAGCCATCTCTACTATCTCATTCCCAAATACTTTCATCACCAAAAAGGAAACTACACCATCCAACACTGGCTCCCCACTCCCCACCACCAGCCAAACTCTCAGCCACCACCAGTCTGCTTTCTGTCAATAGGGATGTATCTGTTCTGGGCACTTCACATAAATGGAGTCCTATAACGTGTCCTTTTGCATGTGGCTTATTTTGCTTAGCACCATGTTCAAGGGGTACAACCCACATTGGGCCACTCCTTTCTGTAGCTGAGCAGTATCCTGCTGTGTGAACACACCACAATTGTTCACCCGTCCACCGCCTGATGAACGTCTGGGTTGTCTCCACCCTTGGGCAGTGGTGGGGTTGGACCAGGTGACCTGTGCCCTGTGAGGCCTTGAGAGACTCAGAGTCTGTACTGCAGCAAGCAGCTGGATCATCCATGTAAGGGTGGAGGAGGAAGAAGGATGAAGTTCTCTGGGCCCCAAGCCCAGGCCTACCACTTGGGCCCCTTGGCAAGAGGAGGCTCCTCCACCTTCCCAGAGAGCTCACTTCCTGCACAGGCAAGGCCAAGAAGCACCCTCCTGGGAGCAGCAGTCGCAGTCCTGCAGGAGGAGCTCAGGAAAGGGAGGACCCTTCCTCTCCAGAGTCCAGCCCGGCCAGGTGTCCAAGTGCTCTGCCCCCACGCCCCCTGCCTTCCCCATCCCGTGCCTCCTCCACCCCCTTCTCCCAGCCCCAACAGCCCCAGTCTACCTTATAGTGAGGGTGGACAACATTTGAGCCTTCGAGTACCTGCTGGCAAAGGCAGGCTCCAAGCCTCCCTTGGGAGGAGGGACCGTGTGTCCTCAGGAAACAGATGGACAGGAGAAGCTCAGGAGCCAGGAGAGAGCCCTGAAGAGCGGTGTGGTATGAGGTGGTCTGGGGCAGTGCTGGCAACAACATTTCGGATCCAGGTTCTATCACTGACAGGCCCAGTGGGGCTTGTTTTCTTGTTTATAAAATGAGCAGAGCCCTCCTCCCACTTTGTAGCACTCATAGGAGACAGTAACAATATCTGGCATTGATCTTGCACAGCTTAGTAGATGGTAGGGACAGGCCTGGAACTCAGCTCCAATCAGGCCCACCACAAAGGCTCCTCACCAACCACATTGCAACAGTGCTTTAGGGGCTGTCTACAAAATAATTACATGATGCATTTTCATTTTTTTTTTCATTTTATGCATTTGGTACAGGGTCTTCCTACACAGCTGGGACTCATAGTGATTCTCCTGTGTGCAGCCTCCCCAGGACTGGAATTATAGGCATATGCCACCATACCTGGACTCTGTCACCAACTCAGTGAAACCCAGGGGCAGGGCCAGTGCAACATGCAGACCAGGAATTGAACCCTGGCCCCTGTGCTTGCCAAAGCAGGCGCCTAGTCTGCTAAGCTATCTCACTAGCCCTTCAAAAATAATTTTTATGGGCTGGTGAGATGGCTCAGTGGTCTAAAGCACCTACTTGGAAGAAGCATAGCAAAGCACAGGGACCGTGGTTCAATCCCCCCAGCACCACATGCCAGCCAGCCCCGCCCCCTGGTGGGCTGAGCTGGCCACACACACACACACACACACACACACACACACACACACATAAATAAAATTTTAAAAAAATAAATAGGTGAAAAATAAGTTTTAATGAAATGTGTTCCAATTCATTAAATTTTGATATATTTATTATTGTTATGTAAGTTTAAAATTCTCCTGTCAAATAGGGTTTTTCAAGGCAGATTCCTCAGCCCAACTCACTCCAGGGAATCTCGTGCCTAAGCTTGCGGCCAAGGGATCTGCACCTCCAGGCGATCAGATGCAGACTATAGTTTGAGATTCCTGCTACCTGCTGCACGGTATTCCTAGGCCTTGAAGCCCCAAAGAGAAGCACTGTGTTCTGATACTCAGCACAGGAGCCACTCTCGCACTCTTTGTTAGTACCTAGGCCAGCTCTCCCGTGTAGTCCCTGGGGTTTGGTAGGAACTTTGCTGAACAAGTTGGAGGAGTACATGTACTAAGATGGAGCGAGGTCCGAGCCCACGCAGCTGGGACAGCACTCTGAAGTGTAGGTTTGAGAGCTGTGACCAACACACACACATCGCTGAGGAGGGTCTAACCACTCACCTTGTAAGGTCAGAGAAAAGATGTTTGAGCTGGATGTTGATGGGTGAGTAGGAGCTCTTCGACAGAAGATAAGAGGGCACAGGACACAGTGTGATCACAGGCCTGTAGTACAACAGAGCTCAGCAGGGCAGTCAGTGCCAGAGACACAGGACGTATGTGGAGAACCAAAGCAGACAAGATACAGAGACCAGTCCCATGCCCAGGTTGGGGCTGCCCTGAGCTCCCCTTCTCCTTCCTGAGAAGGGGCACGGTACCCATTGCCTTCACAGCCCCCCTACCCATTGTCTGCCCCCTTCTCTGCAGCTTCACTCTCTCTGACCACCCCACAGATGGCAGCAGCCCAGCCCATTCCATCGTGGATGGCTACTACGAAGATGCAGACAGCAGCTACCCCACAACCAGGATGAATGGCGAGCTGAAGCACTCCTGTAAGTGCCAGGGTGCTTACACGGGTTCTGTCCTCATTGAGGGTAGGCTATGCGCCCTCCACCTCACCCAGGTTATGACCACCACAGAGACCCCAAAACCCTTGTTGTAGGTGACCACAGGTTTCAGTGGAGGGACTTGGAGTGGGAGTCCAGAGCTCGAGTCTTGCCTTGGCCTCCCTGACTCAGGGCAGCTGGTCTTGGGGGAGTCTCATTTCCCTGTCTATTATGGGTGATTGCTGTGAGGGTCGAGACACTGGCTGTTCATGTGAGGGGGCAACAGCAGGCATTTATTTTATTGACTGCTTATAGTGCCACACATTAGGCCAAACATTCTCCACAGCTTGGGATCCAGTGAGCTAAGCTGTCATACTGTCACTTATTATAATCAGTCACTAATGAGGAATTTGGAGCTCTCGGAAGGGACGCCTCTAAGATCACAAAGAGCTGGTAAAGCTAAACAGTAGGGTCATGGGCCTTTGGGCAGTCACTGCCAACATCGTGCCTTGTGCTGCCTTAGTGGTCTCAGGACCGCAGGGCAAGGAGACCTACAGAGAGGAAAGGTTTCCCTGCAACATGTCCTTTCCCATGACGCCTACAGGCAATGATTCAGATGCGATGAGCAGCTCCTATGAGTCCTACGATGAAGAGGAGGAAGAAGGCAAGGGCCTGCAGCCCAGGCACCAGTGGCCCTCCGAGGAGGCCTCCATGCACCTGGTGAGGGACTGCAGGATCTGTGCCTTCCTGCTGCGGAAAAAGCGCTTTGGGCAGTGGGCCAAGCAGCTGACCGTCATCAAGGAGGACCAGCTCCTGGTGAGTGGACATACTGTGGGGTATTCGGGTGTGTTGGACCTGGCTTTGTACACACAATCTCAAAGCCCAGTACTTCCTAGAGCAAGCAGCCAAGTACAAGCGACCCTTAAAACCTGGTGCAGGCTTACCAAGATTATGGTGGCTTGGTTTTTTTCCCAGACAATTTATCGCTTTAATACAAAGTTTGTTACTTTATTATGCAAATTAATGTTCTGATTTATAAAACTAGAAAAAAATGAAAAGTGCTTTTTAAAACACCTATAATCCCACTAAATCGAGGGTGCCCCTTTCCGCCCTCCTTTCCACACACCTGCCTTCCATATAACTGACCCCTGCTGAGTTCATCCATGTATGCCTTTCTTACTGTAAAGAAATGTTTTGTTTGTTATTTTGCTTTGCAGTACATGGGATTGAACTCAGGACCTTTTACTTGCCAGGCAGGTACTTATACCACTGAGCTATTTCCCCGGCCCCTAAGTGTTTTCAATTTACTATCTCACATCACTGTCATCTCATAAAATAAACTATACCCTAGAGGTGCAAAGTAGGATAGTGAGTATAATAGTCAAAAAATAGTAACAGTTCTTCCCCCCCAAAAAAAAGATGTTCTCAAGCCTTGCTCAGCATACATGTACTGGGGACAAGATATCTTTTCACCATGGTGCAGGGAAAATTTGTCCTAGGCCAGCACCAGTCTGACAGTCCTGGCTGGCTATGTCCACTCCTTGTGTCTCCTTTACATACTTCGGTGGCCACACGAGAAAACTGTGGTCACTCTCCATCCATAATCCCAGCACCTGGGAAGCGGAGACAGAAGGGTCAAAAATTTGAGCTAGCAACACCCAGGCTAGGAACATAGTGAGACCCTGTCTCAAAATTTTGAAACAAAGAAGAAAAACAATAAACACTTTTCATTAAGGCTGATGATTACTGTGGGTTGTTTGTAGAGGGTTCTTTGGGAAGGCTCCCTCCCTTGTTCTTAGTTTGCTATGAGTTTATATCACAGATAGACACTGAATTTTATCACTTTTTTCTGCGTCCATTGAACTGTATAGCTTTTTTGCCTTTCTCCTGTTAAGATGACAAATTACATGGTTGATTTTTTTTTCCGTAATTTTATTGAGAAACAAATAGCAATGAGACAGTTTCAAACCAAATTGGTAGGACAGTTTCAATAATTAACACATTGCAAACATTCTTCCTAGTGGTTAATTGCTGTACAAGATGCGGACATGATATCTTATTTACAAACATTAGAACAAATCCCTCTATTCATTAAGAGAATGTAACTGTATATCTGTCCCAACTACTTTGAATACACAAATACAAAATGGTCATTCATCTGTATCCCCTTTTTTTGTTAAGTTCCATCATTTAAATATATAGGTGTGTTCACTCAGCAAAATATTCTAAAAGAATCCAGTAGTCCATAATAGTATTGGGTCTTCTGCTTCACTGGCAGTGTCAGAAATTGTTGACCTGAGTCCCCTACAGCTCAACATAACACAAAAATATGGAACTCTTCACGAATTTGCATGTCATTCTTACGCAGGGGCCATGCTAATCTTTTCTGTATCGTTCCAATTTTAGTATATGTGCTGCCGAAGCGAGCACTATACGGTTGATTTTTTAAAAAATTTTTAAACCACCCTGGTATCCCTACACCAAGCCCCACTTAGTCTTCAGATAGTGTGTTTTTTATATGTGTCTGGATGCCTCTTGCTAGCATTCGGTTCAGGCCTTTCTCAATTATGAGGGAAATTAGTAAGTACAGGCGAGGGTCTCCCTCCCCTACCCTCACTCAGTCCCTGACCCCTTATCTCCCTTTCCAGTGTTACAAAAGCTCCAAGGACCGGCAGCCACATCTGAGGCTGGCGCTGGATATCTGCAGTGTCATCTATGTGCCCAAGGACAGCAGGCACAAGAGGCATGAGCTGCGCTTCTCCCAGGGAGCCACTGAAGTCTTGGTGCTGGCACTGCAGAGCCGGGAGCAGGCAGAGGAGTGGCTGAAGGTAGGTGGGGCCTGGCTTCCAGGCCTCCCTTCTTCCCTCTTCCCCAGGCCTGCTTCTTTGGTGGGGCCAGGCCTATCTCTGGAAGAAGCAAGCCTTGCCCATGAGAGATAGAGTCCGTGCCTGAGCTCATAGAGAGATGAGCCCGGGGGCCTTGGATATCTGCAGTCCACAGACCTCGAGCTGGAGGTCTGTGCTCCTAATTACAATCCCCTTTCAAACACCCAGACTAGACGCTAGTCCAGTTTACCCTTCCACACCTCTTGGAATGAGGCTCTTAATATCTATAGAGGAGGCTGGCTTTATCATTAAGCAAGTTAATCTTTAAGGAAAACTCCTTTCTTGTTAGAACCTTGAAGCGGGCAGCTGAGGGGTCCTACTTCCACGCCTTCATGACTACACAAAACAAGTGTGTCAGACGCATGCAGTGGTGCCCTGTGTCACGGACTTCCTTCCCTCCATGATTCTGACTGCAAATGGAGTGGAACCAGGACCAGATCAAATTCCATGGTTAGGTTCAGTGTTTTCCTCACAAGGCAGTTTGATTCACATCGTGTCCAATTTGGTGTTCACCCAGAAGCGTGGAGAAAATCGAGTTCGTGGACTCGACTTTACATTTCATGCCGTGCACTGTGCAGAGTGCTGCACATTCCATGGCTTCATTCGTCCTTCACAGTGAGGCTATTATTGTTTCCATTTTACAGAAGAAGAAATTGAGTCACACAGAAGTAATGTGACCTGCCAAAGGTCACACATCTAAGTGGCCAGAGCCAGGATTTGAAGCCAAGAAGTAAATCTATTCCCAAGGCCTAGGCACAGTGCTGCAGTGACAAGGAGGTGGTGCACAGGGAAGGCGTTGGTGGCCCACAGACTTGGCTTCAAGACCCCAGCCTAAGCAGCACTCGCTGGCTGTGTGTTCTGCAAATGACTTCACTTTATGCCTCTGCTTTCTTGTCTGTAAAATGGTTCTTATAGGGTTTCTAGAGAGCGATTGGCACAGTGCCCACCAGGCCATAAGTGTCCCATAACTGTCAGGGATTCCTGAGGCGATGAGAGCAACACCCCCCTAAACTTTTCCAGCAGACACTCTGTCCCTGCACCCATCCCTGCTGCACCTGGAGCCTCTCGCTCCTCTGATCTTCCTATGGAACAATAAAACCAAGCACCTCCCTCCTTCCCTTCCTTCCTGTGATAACCAGCTCTCCCGTGGAAGTCTGGTGTTTCACATTACTGCATTGTCTCAAGAGGGGAAGGAAGAGTGAGAACCTGCTTGCGGGGGTGGGGGGAACCTCTGACCCAGGAGCTGGTAGGTCTGAAGCATGCCATAGGCCAGGAGTTAGGAGACCTGCCTGACACCCGTAAGCCCAGGGTTTAGAGCAGACGGCCACACTGCGTATACTGGTTTCCCGCTCTGCTGCCATCTGACAGCCCCACCACTCTGAGCCTCGTCCTATCATCAGTGCTTGTGGGTGAGCATTGGATGGTGACTGTTTGTGGCTTGCATGGCTGTTTCTGTAGCCTTTGGGTCCCAGCTTCCACATTATTGAATGGTTGAAGATGGCCCCAGGTTGCCCTGTGCACGTTCACAGAAGTAGGTTTTCAGGTTCGCCTCACCTTCCACACCCATGATCTCACTGTCCTTACACCACCCTGCGAAGCACCAGCATTTTCACAATACAGACGTGGAAACTGAAGAACCTCAGGGCTTTCCCTAGATCACACTATTAATCAACAGTGAATCCAGGTCTAGGGACCAGGCTTCTCAGTCCCCAGCCCTGTATCATTTCAATCCATGGGACAGAGAGAAGAGAAAGCCTTTTCACACCCTGGTGCTCCCCTTGCTGGTTCAGAAGGCCCTGTCAGCCACTCTCAGCCTCTCAGTAACCCCGTCTCTCTGCACAGCAGCCCTGACCACACACAAAGCCAGGCATCTCTCACCTCCAGAGTTCCCCTGCCCACCTCTTCTGAGCTGTGTATTCTCTCCACAGGTCATCCGTGAGGTCAGCAAGCCCATCAGGGGAGTGGAGGGGGTGGAGGCCCCCAGATCGCCCATCCTCCTGTGCAAGCTGGACCTGGACAAGGTACATCTGTCTCCAGCAGTCTCCTGGTCAGGCCGCGGGCACTTGGCACAGGCTCTGTGCTGGGGGAGCTCCTGGGCTGGTGGCAAAGCCAGGCCCCCTCAGGACATCATCTAAGCTGTGTGTGCCTAGCACGGGACAAGCACACAGCAGGTGCTCAGCCATTGCCTGCTGCACTCAGGAGTGGAGGAATAGATACATGTTCAGGGTGTAGTACAAGCCAAAAATAGTAGCTCACCTGCCAGGGTAAGAGGAGGTCATGTTTGAACTCTGCCAAGAAATGTTAAGGTGAAATTCATCCACCAGCAGAAGAAAATTCCTGCTAGAAACGTGAGTGAAGCAATTGTTGGCCAATCTGTCCAGCCTTGAGCAAACTCCTACCAGTGCCTACGTGTTGCCAGTGCTGTGGGTAACACAGGGACTCAGACCTAAAATCATCCCTGTGACATGACAGTAGCACCGTACATGTTGTCATGCAGGCTAGCATTCATACACTGTTACTGTGGACCCAGCGTTGCTCCAAATGCTTCACACGTATTAACTCAATTTCAGTAACAGCTTCTAGTGTGGGTCCATTTTCAGATGTGAAAGCTGCAGAGAAATCTACCCAGTGTCACATAGTAAGAAACAGAGCTGGGGTTTCAACCCAGACAGGCTGTCAACTGAGGTTTCTGCCATGTCAGTGGAGAGCCTTGGGCACACACTGCACAGGCACTCGGTCAGAATCTGCAGGCACCAGACACACATGGACACCAGAGTGCAGTCCCTCAGGCACACACAGCACTCGTGGCACCCAGGGCCCAGTGGCAGCAGCTGGAGTCAGGGACTGTAGTCACACTGATGGACAAACTCCAGACTGGCTACAGCTAGGAAGAAAAAGTGCCGGGTTCCCTGGGAGTGTGTGCCACAGTCCTGCTCCTATCTAGAGGTACAGGAGCGTCTCCCCAAGAAGTAACTTCACACAAGGATAAAAAGTAGCAAGAAAGAGGAGGAGGAAAAAGGATAGAATAGAAAGTGGCCAGAATGGCTAGTGCGAAGAGAAAGGGAAGCTCCTAGCCCTGTTGGAATGCTCGGGGATGGCAGCAGTGAAGGGGACAAGCACTCAGGCAGGCTGGAGGGCTGGGGTGGTGGAGAAGGTGCGTGTCTATAATGAGCCCTAGAGAAGGCGAGATCAAGGGATGTTGGCTGCAGCACAGTTTGAAGGATATTGCCAGGCAGAAGAGGCAAGCTTGCACGTCCGATTTTTCTTGTGAGGAAGGAACTGAAACGCTTAGGGTGGGGTGGGTGTGGGACTGGAGATGCAGGTCTGTGTCTCCATGGAATCGTGGGGTTGAAATGCTATTATCACTGAGTTAATCCCAAAATGCTCCAGCATTCCATATTCGCCCTCTCTTGATGAAAAGCTTGCCATCTGCACACCACTGCACAAGGAGCAGAACCATAGCTCTCCTGCTGCATAATGCGCAGACGATTCTTTATACTTCCGGCAGTTCCATCCCATTTGTGCTGCAGTTGCCATTTTTCCAACCCTTTGGAAACAGAGGGTGGCACATGACCTCTGCTGGCCTCCTGCTCCCTGATGCTAAGCCACCTGAGTAGCAGCCCTGGTCTGGAGGTCTTAGCAAGACGGGTTTAGGGACCGTGATTCTCACTTAAGTGGGTGGGGTCGTTTCCATTCAGGCTTTTGGCTAGCTGGCACAGTTTAGCTTCCTGAAGTAGGAGGACAGCGTGTCACACAGGTGTGATATAATCTACTGGCCTCATAATTTTACCTGGCCAGCTGCCTGATCCCTCACAGCAGCCTCCTGAAATGAGTATAATTCAGGTAAGGAGACCAAGCCTCAGGAAGATGGAAGGATTGCCCCACATTTCCACAGCTACTAAGGGTAGCAGAGTCATAATTTCTTCTAAGCTCAGTCTAGCTATTCTGCTTCATTTCCCAAGCTACTTAGGATGACGTTGAGCTTGAATGAATGAATGAATGAATGAATGGCCTAATTGGTTTAATGAGTACAAATGATGTTGGCTGCCCATAAAGTTGTGTGTGTGTATGTCCCTACCATCTTCTTATCGGACAAGCATCCTAGTGGACCCCGGTTGGTCACCAGGTCCTATCATCCTATCATGAGTATTTTGAAAATGTCTGCTAGTGCACATTCCTTGTCATCATGACACTCTCTCCAGTGGCTCTTTTTAGAAGTATCCAGTTTTACCCCATCTGTTCATCCCTACAGCGCCACTGAATTACATTAACATCCCACTTAAATACCCTTCCAGCTCCCTGGCACCTGCCAAATACAGTGCCAGTGCCTAAGATGTTACTCTCTGTGTGTTCAAAGTAACTACCGGTGACTGCCGTGGAAGATACCACTAGGCGGGGCTGGAGAGATGGCTCAGTGGTCTAAAGCACCTACTTGAAACAAGCTTGGCAAAGCACAGGGACCGCGGTTCAATCCCCCAGCACCACATGCCAGCCAGCCCTGCCCCCTGGTGGGCTGAGCTGGCCACACACACACACACACACAATAAATAAATGTAATAAATAAAAATAAATAAATAATTTTTAAAAAAAGACAAAAACAGAAGATACCACTAGGCCTAAATCCTTGTTGTATCTAATTCCTGGTACAGTATCAGGCGTGTGATAATTGCTGGCAGTGTTTGTTAACTGATGCTCATGTGCTCGGGGACTTCTGTGTGCTCCTCTTGACATGAGGCTGTATCTCTCCCCAGAGGCAGTCCCAAGAGAAGCAGACCTCAGACTCTGACAGCCTGGGCATGGGTGACAACAGTTCCACCCTAGGCCGCAGGGAGGCCTGTGAACACGGTAAGAACCTTTGCAGGATCAGACTGGAAAAAGTCTGCTCTGGGAAGGCCCTGAGCCCTGGCACAAGGAGGCAGAGCAGAGTGGGCCTGGGTGAGGCTACCTGGCCTGCCTCCCACAGAAGCACAGGCCAGTCCCTGCCTTAGCAAGATGTGCAAATGGAGAGGGCTGCTGGGAAGGCCGGGGATAGGTGCAGCTGGGACACTGCTCCCCCTGCCCCCCACCTGAGCTGTCTCTTCAGCAGGAGGCAAAGGGAAGAAGAGCAGTTTGGCAGAGCTAAAGGGCTCCATGAGCCGGGCCGCAGGGCGCAAGATCACCCGCATCATCAGCTTCTCCAAGAAGAAGGCCCTGACTGAGGACCTGCAGACCTGCTCCGCTGAGGAGGAAGTGCCGTGCTGTGGTGCGGACCGGGAGGGGGAGCTGGGCGGTGGGGCTTCCGACCTGTGGGGTGGGGGGAGGATCCTGGAGCTAAAGCCAGGGGACCCTTGACACCTCACCCTGCTGGCCTCCAGAGCAGGAGAGAAAAGCCGGCCCCAGGATGGCTAACACCTACTCCATCACCCTCCACACCCTGTACCTCTTCTTTCCTGTGAGGGCTTGGCAAAAGGGAAAGCCAGCTGATCCCCATGTTCTGGGCTCTATGACCTGGGCCCAAAGCTCAGTTTGCACCTCTATAATGACAGGACAGCAATTTATTTCATCGCCTATACCATGCCAGGTATACAAGCTGCAGTCTTTTTTTTTTTTTTTTTTTTTTTTTTGTGGAACCGGGCATTGAACTCAGGCCCTTGCGCTTGCCAGGGAAGCGCTTATTCCACTGAGCCATCCCCCCGACCCCTGCAATCAGTCTTATAAGAAAATTTGGATAAAAATAGTGAAAGGCTTTTCAACCTCAATGAGAAGTATTTTGGAAAAGAAAGCGTGTTTTTCCTGGAAACATAAGGTTCCGTGTACTACAACCCAGGACAGAATCACCTATTTTAATAGGTGATAGAACTATTTAATAGTTCTTAAAATCACCTATTTTAAGAACTCAGGGTGTAGCTGAGTGATGGCGTGTGCGGCCTCTGGATTCAAGCACAGCACCACAAAAATAAAATTACTATACTCTATTTTGAATATGCATTAATATTCTGATGGCCTCCCCCCCCAAAAAAAAAAGCACAGTATAAAAGCTCACGACTTTGAAAATATTTTATAATCAGTGAATCAGAGCATTTTTTTTTAAGTTCAACTCCGTTTTAAAAGGAAATGAGGGCCAGACAGACAGCTCAGCAGACTAAAGCACTTGCTTAGGCAGAGCGCAGCGGCCGGGTTTGATCCCCGGGCCTGCCGGGTGCTACCCTAAATACATTTTTTTTTAAGTATAAAAAATAAAAATAAAAGGAGATGAGATGATTCTAGCCCCATCTCTGCTCAGCCATGTTAATTCTGCGCCTTGCTGCTTTTCTCATCTTCGCCTTGACCGGACGTCTTCGTTCCCACGCGCTGCCACTAGGTGTCAGCACTGTCCATTATTTTCTATCGCTGCGCAATAGTTGAAGTTTGGGGACAGCTGTGTCTTGTGCACCTTTTATGCATCAGCAGCTGCCGCGTTCATCGCTGTGGTGTAGCCCCGAGGCTGTGCGGTGATAGGTGGGCAGGACTCTCAGTGCCCACCTGAGAAGAGAACGCTTAAGTCACAGCCTGAGAGTGCGCAGACCCCAGACCCAGAGACCACGCCCCGCCAGAGAGAGGGCTGTCCCCACTCTTGGGTCCCCGTTGCACCTCTGGGTCGGTGGGACGAGCTGCGGGAGGTCACGCCGCAGTGTCTCCCTAGGTTACCTGAACGTGCTGGTGAACCAGGGCTGGAAGGAGCGCTGGTGCCGCCTCAAGCGCGGCACCCTGTACTTCCACAAGGACCGCGCCGACCTGCACACGCACGTGAACGCTGTCGCCCTCCGTGGCTGCGAGGTGGCCCCCGGCTTCGGACCCAGACACCCGTTTGCCTTCAGGATCTTGCGCAACCGGCAAGAGGTGGCCATCCTGGAGGTGAGAGGAGATGGTCCAATGGGCCCGAGTGTGGGATGCTGGGTGGGGGGCTCCCCATTGTCGCCTCAGGGACCAGGGCTGGGGGCCACCCAGACTTGCCAGGTAACATGGGAAACACATTTAAATTCCACGCAAATAAATTATGTTTCCGCATATCCCGTGCAGTTCTTGGGACATCCTGAACTTAAAAAGAAAAACACCTTTTTCTCTGAAATTCAAATTGAACAGATAATTTTGTATTTTTATTCTTTTAGACAACTGAACTATCCCGCGAGCCGCCAGGTTAGGTTGTCTGTGTGTGTGTGTGTGTGTGTGTGTGTGTGTGTGTGTGATTCTGGGGATCAAACTTGGAACCTTGCACTTGCTAGGCAGACACTTAAGCCACTGAGCCTAATTCTGGCAACAAGAAATAAGATTTGTTTATTCTCCCTGACCTGAAAGTCCCTAGTCTGGCAGGAGGTCCCACTACAGCTAACTCAGGAACCCATCTTCCCAGCAGCAGTTGGTTGTCTCAGAGAAACCACCCCAGGCTGTTAAATCTTTTTTTTTTCCTTAATTTTATTGAGAAACAAATAGCAATGAGACAGTTTCAAACCAAATTGGTAGGACAGTTTCAATAATTAACACATTGCATACATTCTTCCTAGTGGTTAATTGCTGTACAAGATGCGGACATGATATCCTATTTACAAACACCATTAGAACAAATCCCTCTATTCATTAAGAGAATGTAACTATATATCTATCCTAACCACTTTGAATACAGAGATACAAAATGGACATTCATCTGTATCCCCTTTTTTATTTAATTCCATCATTTAAATATAGGTGTGTGAACTCAGCAAAATATTCCAAAATAGTCCAGTAGTCCATAATAGTATTGGGTCTTCTGCTTGACTGGCAATGTCAGAAGTTGTTGAGCTGAGTCCCCTACAGCTCAACATAACAGCATGGCTTTACTTCTTATACTTCATTTTTATACTTTTCCGCTGGTTGGTTAAGACCAACATAAAGCAAGACCTATGTAACAAGAATTGTAGCTTTTGGATCTGATAAGGTCAAGCAAATCCCCTCAGTATCAGCCATGTAGATGAGTCACGGCCATTGCTTGGCCAAATTGCTCTCTGTGACAGCCAGGCTGTTAATCTTGAAGCACCTGTGAAGGCACTAACCACGCCTGCTCGGCATAATTGTCTTCTTCCAGGCCCCTGCATGATATCTGGGACATGCCACAGCCTCAATGATAAACATTTGTTGAATAAGTGAACTGTGAATTCGTCTCACTCTCACCCACTTCTCGCACACTGGCACATGCTCTGAGGCCCTGCAGTATGCACTGGAGGTGCACTATTTATTTTGGTGTTGATGTATATTTTTAAGGCTTTATAAACCCTTCTCATGGGCTAGGGATATAGCTCAATAGCATAAGCCCTTTCCTGGCAAGTGCAAGGTCCTGAGTTCAATTCTGAAAAAAAGAAAAAAATTCCCCACTCTTATAAACCTTTTCCACAGTTTTAAAAACACTTCTAATGTTCTCAACCATTTTCTAAACTCATAAACCTACATAACTTTAACATACATATACTGTACGGTACTGCAAAATTCCACGATACAACGAAAAACCTGTGATAATTTAGATTAATGTTTTTTGAAAACCAATGAAACAGTCTGCAAAAGTCAAAGCTCAAAATAGAAAGGAACTACTGTATTTTTTATAGTCTCAGAAAGACCTTGTATTTACTTTAACTTATACAACAGCTTTCTAGTAAAAACTGTGCCTTGTCTTCAGACATAGCACTTAATAATAATTTTAAGTACATTTAATAATAACACTCTAAATGGGAATTAAATATGTATTCAGTTGACCAACAACTTTTTGGAGATTTCTCAGTGTACAGTAGCATAATTATTTGCCAATCATGACACAAGAAAGACTGATTGAGCTATATGAGCAGTGACCTCCTCGGATACAGAGTAGCTCTCAAAAGCTTTAGGGGGGCCGGGGAGATGGCTCAGTGGAATAAGCGTGTCCCTGGCAAGTGCAAGGGCCTGAGTTCAATCCCTGGTTCCACAAAAAAAAAAAAAAAAAAGCTTTAGGGGAAGGGGGCCAGGATGATGGCTTGATGGAATAAGCGCTTCCCTGACAAGCACAGAGGCCTGAGTTCAATCCCCGGTTCCACCAAAAAGCTTTAGGGAACACCTAAGTGTAAAAACGTCCACATCCTGAGGATGCTGGGACGATGTGCTGTCATCCTAGTGAGGGGAAGCCTCTCAGAGGAGGTAGCTTTTATGCAGAACCTTGAATAGAAGGAAGAAGCCTCAGATTTCTGGCTACATGAAAGGCCCTTTTACGTATCTGTAGGCTTGGCTGAAGTGAGCAGGTGGGCAGAGCCCCGACCGTGTGCACCCCAGCTTTGCTGCTCTCCTGTCCCCCAGGCAAGCTGCTCAGAGGATATGGGTCGCTGGCTCGGACTGCTGCTGGTGGAGATGGGCTCCAGAGTCACTCCAGAGGCGCTGCACTATGACTACGTGGATGTGGAGACTTTAACAAGCATCGTGACAGCTGGGCGCAACTCCTTCCTGTGAGGCCAGCCCTCAGCCCTCACCTGCCTGCCTCAGTGCCATCGCAGAGGCTCTGCGCCTGGCCGTGGGCACCTAGAGGGGCCGGGAGGGAGGAGGCGCTCAGGAAGACTCTGCATGTGCTCAGGAAGCCAGGATGGTGCCTTCCTGCAGCGTAGGAGGGAGTAAGGCTGCCAGAGTCTGCCTAGGCTCAAGGCAGGCTGTGGATGGAACGAGTCCCAGAGTGGTGGTCTGGGCTTTGTCCTCATGCCACCAAACCTTAAACCATGCCTTTAGCATCTGGAGGCACATGGCATTAGAAGAGCTGGGCTAGAGTCCCAGCACTGTCACCACCAGCTCTCAGAACAAGGGCTACTCGCCTGTCACCTTGGGTTCTGTATTTTTGGGATTGTAAAGCGTTGGTGATGAACGCCTCACACCTGTTTGCAGGGCTGCCATGGGAGTCATGTGGCTTGTCCAGCCCATAGCTGCCAGGCTCAGATGAGGGGATGGGACAGCAGAGGGCACAGCCGCAGCATCACGGTGCCTTTCATTTTCTAGATTCGCAAGATCCTGCCAGGATCAGTGGCCTGAGCCCCGTGTCTATGACGATGTTCCTTATGAAAAGATGCAGGTACAGTCCCATGGGTCTGCACAGGCATGTCACAAAGGCTGTTTTTCTTCCCTGTTTCCCCTTCATGGCCCTTTTGTGTATTTTGTTCCTTAAAAATCAGTTTGATTTAACCAATAGTTAGCAGGACAGTCCCTTCTTCTTGAATCACTGGATTTGCGCTGAGGCACCCCTGGTGCAGGAGCTGGGTGGGACTTGTGGGAGAGTCCCAGACCAGAAAGAAGAAGGAGCTCTGCAGACTGTGAGGCACTTCAGGAAGGGAAGGCACCAGGCTCTCCTCCACTTACTGCTGGGAACTGAGGCTGCTGGTCCCGCGGCATTCGGGGCAGATGTTGGCAAGGCGGCCTTCACTTGATGGCGTTCACAGTCTAGACATTAGTTTTGCTTATTAAACCAAGGCAGTGCCATTCATTAATGTACAGCAAGGCCTCTCTGTGCCTGTCCCACCTGTACTCTGTCCGGAACATGCATGGCAGTGTGCCCTCTGCCTGTTCCTCCCGAGGGAGCCACAAGAACACCCCATTCTGATTGGACACAGGCAGGCCGGTCAGGGAGGCCTCACAGCAGGGCAGAGTGGGAGTCGAGGTGCCAAGGACAGCAGCTGTCCACACGCCAGGCCCCACTGTGGGCAGCAGTGGACCTTACCCTCTGCAGGCACCTCCAGGACTCCCTTTGCTGGAAACGCCTCTAGCCCTCCTCTACCCATCCTTCTGCTCACATGGCTTTTCCTCAGCTCAGGCGAGCCAGTGGATGCTGCTGACCCGTACAGGCAGCGCAGAGCTTAAGGATGAGCACAGGAGAGTCAGACTAGGCTGGCGCTGAGTGGCCTCAGGCTTCTCTCGTCCTCCCTTGGACGTGAAAAATCTATTTTCCTGGGCTACTGCAAGGACTAAATGAAACACTTTATGCAAAAGAAAAAAATTCAGCACAGTGCCTAACCGTTGGAGCATTTTGTACAGAGTAATAAATAACACTGTCTCTTTTTTTCTATAAAACTGTTAGTGGTATGATTATTGTATAACAGTGTTATCTAATCCCATTAAGGCTTCCTGAGTCTTACTGGATTTTGAGTCTCCATGAGCTCTTCATGTACAAATAAATATATAGGCAGGCTAGTGAATTATGCATTTTATAACAATAGTTATATATGTTACCATTCATTAAAGGCTGCCATTGACGGATTCTTTTTTGTTGTGGATGGTGGTGGTGGTGGTAGTTAGCTAGGGTTTGGTTTTGGGTTTTGGTTGGTTTGTTTGTTTTAGAGACAGGGTGTCACTTTGTAGTTCAGGCTGGCCTTGAACTCACTGTGTGATCCTCTTACCTAAGCCTCCCGAGTGCTGGAATTACAGGTGTGTGCCGCCAAGCCTGGCTGACTGATTCTTTTGGAGGAAAGATTATATTAGCAATTCAGAAAATTGGAGGAGTGCGTTCAGATTTTGTGAGGCCAGAAACACCTATGATAAATCAAATATGGTCACCCACTGTCTTTTGAGACTTCCTTGTTTTCTTCCCAGCAGGTCCCTAGATTAGAGTGGCCTTTTGCTGCCTTCCATAGAAAGGCATGAGATTCAGAAGAGCTACTGCTCGTGCGAGTGGTCCATAAACTGAAGAGCATTATGCGAGTCTAAAAGTGCAAGGCCAAGAGCTCAGAAACCCTGCCACAGCCCAGGAGGGAGTGCGCATTCACACTGATGAGTCTGAGCCTGCGGCCCTTAACCTGCCTCCTCCTTCCCCCACCCAGGACGAGGAGCCGGAGCACCCCACCGGGGCCCAGGTGAAGCGCCACGCCTCCTCTTGCAGTGAGAAGTTGCACCGAGTGGATCCGCAGGTCAAAGTCAAGCGCCACGCCTCCAGTGAGTTCTGTGTGGGCCTTTCCTGTGGAGCTGGGGAAAGGGAGGGAAGCAGTCCACACCAGGGGTTTTGAGCCAAGCTCCTCCAAGGGTCAGGTAAATACATGAGGAAAGTAAGGTGTAAGAAAATGCTTTGATTTGAAACTGTCTCATTGCTATTTGTTTATCAATAAAATTATGGGAAAAAAATAGATAAGAAAAAAAAGAAACTGCTGTACCCTAGCTGAGCATAGTAGAATGCTTCTGCAAGCCCAGCACTCTGGGAGGCTGAGGCAGGAGGACCACAAGTTCAGGCTCAACCTAGGCAATATAGTGACCCATCAAGACCTTCTCTCAAAATAAAAAAAATTAAAAAGGGCTGAGAATATAACTCAGTGCAGAGGCACTGGATTCAATCCCCAATACTAGGGAAAATACTGTCCTAAGAAAAGTAAGAAGGCTAGGGGTGCTATTCAGTGGTAGAGTACCAGTACTGGTGGTACAGTGGTACCAAGTGGTACAGTGGTACCTAGCATGGATAAGGTTCTGGGTTCAATTGCCATCCACAGAAGAAAAAGAATAGTAACAACACAAGCACAGTGATGAAGGCAACTGGCAAGTGACTAAGAGGGAAAATGATGGGAAGTGTGGGGCTGTCCAGACATGGGAGCACAGAACACCCACCCTTAAGCCAGCTGCTACATGGCTCCCTCTAATGGTCCCCATGCGCAGTGTCATTTCCTTTTGCCAAATTTGCTGATTTTTCAGAGGCCAGAAATCTAAATTTTATGTGAAACCTTATTTAATATTATCAGTGAATTTTTTGACTGTAAAAGTGCAAATGTTTTATAGATAAGAGATATCCTATAAAGTAAATGGTAACCAGTATGCTTATTTACACAGAAGGAAACTGAGGCCTAAGGGAAAGGACACTAGGACATCACTACTCCCTTCTACCCAACATCAGACAGTAAGGCAGAGAGGGCGCAAGCCTGTGTCTGTGTGGTTTGAAGGCCTCTGCTCCTACAGTTTGTGCTCTGCAGCCTAATTTAAATATTCCCATTTTAATAGACAGAGAAATTAAGACTGAGAGAGAAGCTGATACTGCCCATATAACTCACTAACAGTTAGACCCAAGGACCTTTTGTTCCCCACATGTCTTTTTTTTTTTTTTTTTTTTTTTTTTTTTTTTTTTTTTTTTGCGGTTCCAGGGATGGAACTCAGGACTTTGTGCTTGCCAAGCAAGCACTTATTCCACTGAGCTATCTCCCTGGCCCTGTTCCCCACATTTCTGCAGGTGCTAATCAATACAAGTATGGCAAAAACCGAGCTGAAGAGGATGCCCGGAGGTACCTGGTAGAAAAAGAGAAGCTGGAAAAAGAGAAGGAGACGATTCGGACAGAGCTGACAGCCTTGCGACAGGAGAAGAGAGAGCTCAAGGAAGCCATTCGGAGCAACCCAGGTACTTATATGGATGTGGTCCCGAGTGCCCAAGGGCAGCGCAATCTTGGCATGTCTCCTGGCACAACAAGGGGAGACCTCCTGCACAGGTCACCTTGTATCCTGCCCAGGTTTCCCTTACTTTGACAAACGCTAAACATAAGTCAACCTTATACAGGAAAGATCTGTCTTGGCTCATAGTTTCAGAGGTTTCACTTCATGGTCAGCCAGGAACATGGGAAGGAATTGAGAAGTCACCTTATGGAAACCAGAGAGGACAGAGCCAGAGGGCAAATGCCTGGGGACAGTCACCTTCCCAAGGGCCCCTCCTATGAGCCACGCCCTTCCGCCCGTCCATAGCCCTGATACCCTGTTCTCACCACTTCCCAATAAGGCCCGCAGATTATGATCTCATCAGTGAATTCCGCTGGTGAAGTTAGGCTTCATGAGCCAATCACCAAAGCCCATCCTCTGAACCCATAGGCCTTTGGGGGACATTTGAGATCTAAACCACAAGGCCAGGAGAGGCAAGCCCTCCTCCTGCTGTCTCCAGTACCACCTCCTCCTCCTCCCCATCCTCTCTTTCCTCTCCCCTCCCCACCTCTTCCTCCTCATTCTTGTTCATCAGCATTGCTCACAATCAAAGGAAGTGTCTCAATTTCACAAGTGCTTTTAGATAAGGGAAAGCATCCCAGTAATGTGTAATCTCATTACTCCCCTTAATGGAGTAAGATGCAAACTGACTTTAGAAGTATGAAAAAACAAAATTATGCCTTAAGATAAAGGAAATAAGTTATCTTGAACCCCCCCCCCTTCATTCATTCACAGGTAGGTTATGAGACATTGGTCCAGGTGCAGAGAGTGATATACAGCGACACTTTCCCAGGACCCTTCTCTGAAGTCCTAGCACAGGGGCAGAGCCTGCCTGCTCTAGGCTCCCCTCCCTCCATTTTCTGCTATATTTCCTATGAATTCTCACTCTAGCTACAGTTGACGACACTTTTCCACATGTATGAGAGAATAGAAGTCCTGTCCTTGTGATTCAAGGAGAAAAACTGATCCTGAGTGGGTGACCTCCAAACCATACAGGGAACCTCCAAGTGACATAGGGAAAAATGATCTCATGACCTGACCTGCACAAGTTCGTGTTCTCTAAAACCGAAAATGAATTTTAGGAACAAACAGAGGTTATGAGCAGAATATATTTATTGAGAGAAAGAAAACTCCTGTCTGAGAGAGGAAGGGGGGGCGGCCCAGGTGGGTAGTTCCTAAGAAGCTGTCTCTTCCAGGGACTTTTATGGACAAAAACCAGGTGGTGAGGCAGGTCTAAGGTGGTGAAGACATGGGAACTCGCTTATGTGAGCATGAGGTGGGACAAAACTATAGTTAGCCAATGAGATTACAGGCACCATTGCTGAGGGAAAATCGATTAAATCCAGGACCAAATGAGGAAGCGAGTCACGCAGCAAGGGGGCATGCTCTCCTGTTGGGGGTTGGGCTGGTGATTCAATAGGGCTCTTTCAAGGTGATTGATGCCTGTGTAGGATATCAGTCCCTAATGCCCATCCCAAGGGAAGTATGTAGCTGTGCTTCCTCTTTTTGTCTTGGTCTTCAGGTGTGCCCCGTATGGGAGTGTCTGTCTCTTCCAAGTTGCAAAGTCACCTTGTCTTCCATCTTGTCTCCTTGAGGGCCTGGCTCTAACTGCCTATAATATTTCTATCTAACTCGGCTGCCTGCAACACTCATAGACCATCAGGTCACTCAGTCCTATGAGACTCTGTAGGATCCATGGACCTTTCCTAAGAAAAAGAAAACACCAGAATTCAAAATGTTAGAGACAGGGCTGGGAAGTTAGCTCAGTGGAATAAGTGCTTCCTGAGTTTGATTCCTGGTACCACAAAAATGTTAGCGACAATTCCAGGGACTCATGTGCCTGCCCCTGGAGCACACCCATAGCTTGTCTGTGAACCTCAGATTGAGAATTGCCAGTTTAAAGGGTAAGACACATTCTGTGTGGAAAAGAAGCAAAATCAGTGGCAGAGACAGGAAGAAAGTTTGGTTTCAGTAAAGAATTTTCAAAACCAGACATAGTGGCACATGCTGTAATCCTAGCATGCCTGTAATCCCAGCACTGGGGAGACTGAGGCAGGAGGGCTGCTGTGAGTTCAAGACCAGCCTGGGCTACAAAGTGAGCTCAAAGCTAGCCTGAACTACATGGTGAGACCCTGTCTCAAAAAGACAAAAGAGCACGGGGTTTGATACCCCACCATGCCGTGCTTGTTCTGCCTTGAGCCAGCCCCCCAAAACCAGGTGTGGTAGCACATGCCTGTAATCCCAGCACTGGGAAGGCTAAAACAGGAGGACTATGAGCTGCATAGCCAGACCCTGTACCAAATAAATAAATAAATAAAATTTTTTTAAAGACAAAAGAAATTTTAAAATGTCAGAACCAGCATTTAGAAAAGCAGGTTATCTTTTGTTTTTCTTTTTGCTCTTTGTTTTTTTTTTTTATCCCTTTATTTTTTTATTTTTTTGTCCTGTCAGAGGTGAATATTCTATTGGCATCTAAATACTATAGGTTGGGGCTGGAGAGATGGCTCAGTGGTCTAAGGCACCTACTTGGAACAAGCTTGGCAAGGCATCAGGGACCGCGGTTCAATCCCCCAGCACCACAT